AGATATTCTTTTTTCCTTCTCACTACTCTCTGAGGTTACATTCTAGCACAAAATATGTAATTAATTACTGGTTGATAGTATTTAGACCAAACATATCTGTGTCAGACATTTTACAATTGGGAAGAAAATATCACTCAGAGGTGCTTTTTACTGTCCTTGGGGTTTACTTGTATAAAATCAGGTTCCTGTGAATATTTTGCCACATATATAGTTGACTGTAAGGTTCTTTCTACAAAATAAAATGGAGAAATACTTTGCAATCAATAACCTGGAACAATTTTACAATTCTTTGATAACTGCTGTAGTCTGGTGACTTTTTTTTTTTTAACTTAAATGTAGCTCCCCTCAGTTTGCCTTCAGTATTAATGCTACGACTTAATTGAAAAGGCAATATGAAATGGATTAACAGAAGCTACAACAATCTCCATTAGTCTTGTTTTACACGTTCTCCTGGTGTTCCTTTCGCTATTCTTGTTTTTTACTGGTAAACCAGTCTGCAGATGGTTTTCCTTCAATTATTTTATGGCAGAGAGAATAGGGGAGAGAAGCAATGATCTAGGGGGGATTTATTGTTATGTGTAATGCTCCAATTTGCTGTCCTTCTCCCTGCTGACACTCCTATACAAGCAGCAGATTGCCTTGCTGCTGTGCTTTTTGAATCTTGAAAGAAAATCTGATACCAGGGATGCTGGTTTCCTTTTCATACTGTTCAGCGGTAGGGAACATGAACATTTATTTCCCTATTGCATTTGCACAGACCATAAGAAATTCAAAGACCTTTTTCCCCAGACATTTCTTGTTTAAGCTGTATTACCTTTTATGGCACTCAGTCCTACATGATATTTTTTGAACTTTGATTTCCTCTGTGGTATGCCACCTCTCTTGTAGTTAATACCATCAATGTCATCAGATTTACTTGACAATTATTTCATCTCCTGTCTGTTTCTCCTCTTGGCTCCTTTCACTATATTTGGACAAGTGCGAAAGCTTTCTTTACAAAGCAAAAGTACCTCTGAAACTCTTGGTATGGACTGTGATTTCTGAGTTATTTATCTGGTATGTGGTGATATACCACAAAAAAAACCCTCCAAAACCCCAGAGCCAGGACTTCCTCTTGTGATTGCTCCTTCCCTCATTCTTCCCAATGATGAGGAAAGAAAGTGCTGTGTTGCTGGGTACAGATGTAACTACATCTGTTTGCTCTGAACTAGCCCAGCAAAGACATCTGAGGTTTTATTAGGTCTTTCAGGCTGATACCAACCAGATTTCTCATGTGGCTGAGAAACCCATGGAAGGGGGCAGGGGGAGAGGGCAGTGACCCTTATGGCGTGTGCAGCAGTCATGCACACACTGCAGCCGTGTGTACCTGTTGTGTCTATAGAAAGCAAAAAAGTTAATGTCAAGAATATATGACGATACTATTTCTGCAGCATTCTAAATAAGTGAATGTGATAGAAGCAGATGGACTACATTTTATTGGCTAAACCAGGTCGTAAAAAAAACCCCGAAGCATTGGAGCATATGAGCTATTTGCCACATTTCGTTTTTCAAGGAAAAATAGCCATTGCTAGTAGATACTTTTGTGTGAAATTGTTGAAATTAAGGAATGTGTCCATATGTAGCTTTTTCACAACTATATTTGACAGACAACAATGTGAAATTTGTTGAATACTTTATCTGGATGACTAACTTGTAAGCCAGGTCTGGGGACCATGTATATTTTTCATTTTGTCTGTTAGAATGTTTCAACCGGTTAGAAAGTTTTCTTTAGTGTTCCTGCTCTCCTTTAAAGACTTCCCAATTGTTTTAGCTTACTTTCAGTACTTTTTTCCCACCCTCTGTACTAATTTGACAATAGTTCTTGCATATATTGAGGATTTTGTACACTGTAGGGGTATGACAGTTAAAAATGTCTACTTTGAAACCTTTTCTGTGCATGCTCTTTTGAGATTTCCCTTAGTGCTTCAGTCAATAATTAAGAGAGATCTATTCAAAACTTAGATTTCAGTATTAGAAGCATTCAACTAATTGTTTCTTTACAAATGGATTGTGATTAATACACAGCATCATCAACAGGAAACTCTTTGAGCACCAGGAAATATTTCAGCACAAACCAGATTTAAAAAAAAATATTCAGCCAGATTAAAAAAAAAAAAAAAAAAAAGAAAAAAAGAAAAAAAAAAACATAAAAAAAAAAAAAAAAAAAAGAAAAAGAAAAAGATGAGGGACATGGACACTCTTCACAAAGCCGGTAACAGAGAAGATGCTGCAGTTCTGACCCCCAGCTTATTCCATAGAGAATTCCTGTGGGGCATGGGAGGTTCCTGCTCCTTTCACTAATTCAGAAAATGCATTTGAATCAGCGTCATCTACAGCATGTCTTTTGCTTCCACCAGCATAGTGTATTTTCACATTGTTGTTCAAGTTATTTTTGTCTGGGAGAGAGGGACAAGTATGACCATAAGGCTGTTGGTAAAAACCCTCCTGAGAACCTGAGGAGTGTGGTCAGTTACTCCTTGAATTAATGCTTAATAACTTTCTACCTGTGGGTTTTTTGGAGTGGTTACTCCATGTGAGGTACCCATATAGTAGATATATCATAAAATAATAGCAAGGCATAAAAGTGACAAAATGTCAGTTAAAATCCCTAGGTAAACTTTCAAAGTGTGCTTCAAAGTTTTAAAAATAACAAATTTTAATCTGTGTTTTTTATTTTTAATTGTATTTTTAAATAAAACTTTTTTATCCAGTCATACTAAGAAAAATTTAAATGTTGACATTTTTGGTACATTGGAAATTTTAAATACCAACCATCTGTATGTATGAATACAGAAATAATGTAAAGCAAAAGTGAACAATGAGTAGAATTAAAGCAGTTTGTACAAAGAGTTCATCAAAGAATTATGAGGGAAGTTCATGTGCATAAATAAAAAATATATACATGCGTAATTGGCAATTACAGCATTTGTCTAGTGGTGAGAGATTAATTTTAAATACATTTTTATTTGTCTTTCCAGAAATCTCAGATGTTAAGTAAATTATTAGGAAAAAATATATGTATAACATTTAATTTATATGTGTTTTGGTTATTAATATTTTAAGGAAAAAAGTTTTATTAATGAAAAGAAAATATATCTCTGCCAGTGGACATAATCCTAGATACCGCAGCTTGCCATTTCGAAATGACTATGGTTTATATCACATAAGGTACATGATCACATGACATTTATTGCTTTTTGGATTTGGTATTTGGCTTCTTACAACCTTGCAGCAATTCCTCTACCACTATTTAGAGACTTGTAGAGCAAATTCAATGCAAGGTAGAATCTGTTCATCTGTGACAACTGCTAAAACTGCTGTATGAGATTAAATCTGTAAAACAGATTATAATTGTCATAGATAAAGTTATCTCCAATTTGCACGGTGGAATAAAGTATGATGGTTAGAATGCTTTATCCTGTTTGAGTACTGTTTTGTTTATGTATGTGATTGCCACATATTAATGGCATTTTGATTCAAGTAGACTAACTGAACACTTGCCAAACAAAAAACTGAGTGTAAATAAGCTTTTAAATTGCTATTGTTGTTTTACCATGGTATCCTGAAAGTAGATCAATGATGATTCAGCGGGTAACATAAAATGTCAAGATAATAAAATTAACTAGTATAAAGAAAACAATTTTGGAAGTAAGTTATTTGATGTAATGGAATTTTATTGTAAAATAATTTTATTCGATGATCTACAGAGGGGCGGGTGGTCTTGATCTGGGCTCGTTTTATGGCTGATTGGGGAAAGAATGTTGTTAACATTACTTTGCTTAATGGCTTTCTTTGAAATTTCTAGAAGATTTCTGTATAAATATATTTTTTCAATAATAGTACAGAAGTGCTAATGAGAGCAAGCTTAGTTTCCTCTCAGATCTTGCTAGGAATATTTCATATATACATTGCTATACACCCTACCATCTGAAGGACAAGTATATTTTAGGACCAGTATTCCTGTATGATGCTCATTGAGATCCATAACCTATTTAAAATTACAGTTACAGTGAAATACCTTGTTCCCATACTGCATAATATAAATTTAACTGATAAAATTGCACCTAGTCTAGAAACTTAATGGCAGGGTGGACTACTTTGGTTTTATTTTTTCATGTTATAGGTCAAAAATCAAATCATTTTGATTTTGCATGTTCTTTTTGCTTTTTTTTTGACATGAAATAATTAAATTTGTATGAAACCATGGCTTAGCCTATGCTGGAAAAGGTTAGTATGACTATTTATTATAAGTCAATGCCAGCAAGTTCTGCTAGTGAATGCACTTCTTTCTGATATAATTTATTTGCAATATAAATCATGTTCCTGAGTTCATGTTCCAAATGCAATGTGAGTTCTGGACTTGACATTTTTTATTTATTTATTTATTTATTTATTTATTTTCCTTTATAACTGTATTCATACCAGGGCTTTCAGCAGCGCAAATTACTTCAGCAGAACTTGTTTCTAATGTAGGCCTAACCGGTGTGTTGTCCAGACTCTAAGCACTTTCTGGTACAGTGAATTTGTGATTTATTAGTGTTGCTTCCCGTCTGCACCGTGGCCTATTTTGCAAATGAAAGAGACTTTGATTAAGTTTAAGTGCTGTGTAGGTTTGCTAAGACGTATGCATGTGATTTGGTGCTTTTTAGGAGTAGTATTGTGGCAATTTGTACTTGAATACTCATGATGTCAAACTAAAGATATTTTTGTGTAGTGTTCTGCTCTTAACGCAAATGTTTACTTCTCTATGTGATGTTACGTTCTGGAATCCCTTGATATGAATGAATACTATTTTTTGCAATTTATTCATAACTACACCTGTCTTATCTACCATGAAAATTATTGTTTTTCTCTTCTTAGCTCCTTTTGTAATTTTTAAAAATAATCTTTGTTTTAGAAATTCTTTCAATAGAGTCCATATTAAAGATAAATAACAAATAATGTCACTTCTCTGTTAACAGCGCCTATCAAATGGCTCCATAGACTCAAATGATGAAGCCAGTCAAGTTGTTGAACTTCAGGAACTACTGGAAAAGCAAAACTATGAAATGGCACAAATGAAGGAGCGCTTGGCTGCGCTGTCCTCCCGGGTGGGAGAGGTAGAGCAGGAAGCAGAGACCGCCAGAAAGGAGCTCATTAAAACAGAGGAAATGAACAGTAAATATCAGAGAGACATTAGAGAGGTAAGGAGTTCACCACACTCACCTCCTATTTCTTGACTGGTGTTCCTGTGGTACCCACTACAAACTGATACAGGCTGATGAATATGGGCAGCAAAAGTTGATAAAAAGCTGATAAAAGCCCTTGTAAGTGGGAAACTCAGAATTTACAGTAAGAAATAGTACTAGAAATCTCTTTATAAAGCCATGTTCATAAAAGCGGGTGTGTACATGTGCAACTCTAATAGAAGGAAGGCCAACTCCTTTGTGGTTTATCATTACTAGAGTGCATTCTGGCAAGTTTTCAGCTATTTCAATTTTTTAAGATTAACTATGTTAAATAGAAATACTGGTCATGCAGAGAATCTAAAGTACATTTTAAAAACTCCTGGGCTGTTTTATAAAATGATGCTATTTATATAATCAATTATAATATTTACTCATGTGTGGTAACTTCATCACCCTAGTTATAGTATGCTATTCCCTTCTCTCAGTAAATGGAAATACAATTAAATTTTCTTTTTTCTTTCCTCCTCTTAAATTTGTCATGCTCCTTAGTACTCTTCAGAGTATCTTCTCTTAGGCAGATATTCTCAATTTGTGTGGATGGTTGGCTTCTAGAATCTATTTTAATATTTTGAAATTGGAGTAGTCACCTTTCTGTTACACTGATCCCTACAATATAGGTATTTCATGTGAATTTCTGTGTATGTGTGTATATTTGTGCATTTGTATGTATATATTCAATCTATTATTTCTAGTATTCTGGGAGAAATGTTCCTTCAGAACTTCTGCTGCCTGACTCGGCCTCAAAATGTCTTCACATCTTTGTACTCTGACTCTTCTAAGTATTGTATCATTTTTATCCGGTTTACAAAGAATAGTTCGCACTGATATGTTTCTCCTTTTCCACCACTGCTACATGATATCACTAGGGGTCTCTAATATCTCTGTTCTCGTTTACCTTTTGACCAATATTGCTGTCTCACGGACACTTGATTGCCACTTGCTGTTTCCCTCTTAAATACCACAGTATACCAGCTGCAGGCTTACTTGCTTTCAGCCCTTTGCTTCCTAAGCAAAGTGGCCACTAATACATTTGCATGTAGAATAATTACCAAATGTCAGTGAAAAATCTGCTGCGAAAGGTCTTTGTAAAGGCAGAAGTGTCTGTCTTCATTGTTTCGTAGTGCCACAAAAGATAATCTTCCCAACGCAGAAAATGAAATACCTGCAACAAGAAGGGGGATTTGATATTGTGTAACTTGGATAAATTATTGGGTTTTTTTCTGTGTGTGTTTTTTAATAATAAAATATTCCTTTTTTATGGGTTTTTTCCAGCAAGAAGCAAAAAGATCACCTGGATATGGCCCATTTTAGAACAAGCAATTTGGATCCATTTATATCCTCATTGTGTGTTACTTGAAAAATAATTTCACTTCGTTCAACACTTTTATAATGTGATATAACACAAACAGCAAGACATGCTCATCAGTAAATATTTTCATTGTGAAAGATTATGTGGCAATACCCAAGTCTTCTCAAGAGCCAGACACAAGTTTAAAACTAATAAAATTTTCTGCTTTCACTAAAATTAGTTGAAAAGAAATAAACAACGTGATAGACAGACTAATGAATAATCTATCTAAATTACAGCTAGGGACTTAAGTGAGGCCAGCTTGTAATACATGAATAGAAACGCTCAAGATTTTAAAGAAATCCTTATCCATAACATAGAAGGATAACACGCGCATATGTTATGTATCCAACATTGTGGTCACTTGTTTTCCTGAAATTTCAGGATTTGTCATAGGGATTGTTTGCTATGTGTACTTCAGCAGAAAATTTTAGCAAGACGCAGGAATAAGATTAAAGTGTGCATATAAATTTTTTTTTCCTCACATCACTGCACTATGTTTCTGCTATTATGTAACTGTATCAGTTTTTCTATTTTCTGATCAAGCCTGCTGTTGTTTAAGAAGCAAGCAAGTAAACGTGATCTGCGTTTGCTATGAGTTTTGCATTGAGAAATATAGAAACTAAAAAAATACACAAAAGGTAAGGATTGTTTCTGTTTGCTGTACTCAACAGCCACTGTTTTAAATATTGTAGTTACAAAAAACTCCAAAGGAAATAAATTCTCTTTAAATCAGAAAAATTACTGCTGAGCATACCTTACATCCTGCCTACCATTAGCATGAAAATTAAACTGGTATAAAATAATGTAGCATTTTAATTGCATGGTTCTTGATGGGTTTTTTTGTCATGTTAGGCAATGGCACAAAAGGAAGATATGGAAGAAAGAATAACTACGCTGGAGAAGCGCTACCTCAGTGCTCAGAGAGAATCCACCTCCATACATGACATGAACGATAAGCTGGAAAATGAACTGGCAAACAAGGAAGCCATCCTACGTCAGGTGCAGTATCTGCATTAGTCAGTTGTTTTCTTCATACACAATGAAAACTAATGCAAAAAAGGGGGCAGATCTACAGTAGGAAGTTTCCATTAGGTTGATCTCTTCATTTTTAATCAACAGATCAGTTAATCTAAAAAAAACCCAAGTTGTTCAGCATCTCTAAGCTTTGTATCAGCTGCTACAACCATGAATACCAAATCACTGTGTACAGTGTACATCCACGCTGGAAAATAACTGTGTTTTCTGATAGCGTCTTGCATAAATGTACATAGTCATGTCCCCTAAGTAAAGGATTATCTTTAGTTCTTATGTAACAAATTTCTGATTTTTATTTAAAAATAATTGAAAAAGATAGTATAAGCAAAAGAAATTCCCTTTTGCAGGAAAGATCAAAATTTGCATACAATATATTCTAAAGATTTCACATATTAGTAGTGCGTAAATGAAATTTTACACAGCTAAACTATCTATGAATATGTTTTAAAAAAGACTATAACATGGTAGTGCAGCTTTCTCTCATGATAATCTGTTTCCACAGTGATTCCAAAAGCTGGAATGTAAAGCAAACAGAAAACACTGTTTTGTAATTTGTAATGTGAACTGAAAGTTAACAAGAAATTAATATAATTCAAACTGTAAATGATGAAATTGCTCCTCAGCCTCAGTATCAGGCTGCTTTATTTTTTCACCTATCATGTCTTCAAACAATATAAAATGCTGTATTGAAAATGAGCTTCAATGATTGTATGCAGGTGTATTTACATACACATGCACACATCCCTCTATATATGTGTATTTCTATGTATGTGACTACCTCTTCAGGGAAATTAAAACATCAGAACTCAAACTCTCCAGCTTCTGCCAGCATCCTTTGGCTATTTTAAGAAGTATCTTCAATTGTTAGAAAAAAAACCCACACCACCCAACAATGGAAAAGTAAGGTACCTGCATCTGAGTTTTTATTGCTGCCAGCGGAAGTCATGCTGTACTGCAGAGATCTACCCACTCAAAGCAGTGACCAATAGAACAAGGCTTAGAATATATACGGGCAGACTTAAAGTTGATTTGCAGGATTGCATTGTGAAAAGCCTACTCTTCCATGCTTTTGAAGGTTTCAAAAAGAATCTAAAAGCACACTCCTTTTTCATTATGTCTTCTATTATCTGGAATGAACAGGAAAGCAGGAAACACTTACTAAGCCATTAAAAAATTCTTAATCATGTGGTGGTGCATCTCAGTAGGCCAGAAAATACTGCAGTTACCAAAAGTCCTCCTTTTTTCTCTTTAATGGTTATCACAGATTAATCAATTTCACCTCTGTAAAATGTGACTTCATTGTAGGTTCACAATGAATAGTATCACTGTGACCTGAAGCAGATAGCAACCAGGTTATGAACATGAATGATAATCTCAGTTTTAACATGTCCTAATATATGATTAGTATTTGTTCAGAAAGTTGCATTTAGTAATTTGTTCAGAAAATTTGCTGGGAATTCTGTACTTTTGGAATTGTTCTTCTTTCCCATTTTGGTTCATACATAAACTTTTCTGTGAGATGGACTCAATATTTACATTTAGAAAATTCCTATTTTACTGGCACTAATACTTTTATTTTGCTCAGATAAACAACACATTGATCAGAGGAGCTTTTTGTTCATCTTCATTAGTGCCGTTTTACAACTCCTTTTCTTGACCTTCATATGATCATTGACCCTCAAATCACTAATCATTGATAAGACTGGCAGCTTACACTGTTCTGTGCTTGAGTTAATACCTCTGAAATAAGCTCACCCAGGTTGCGGAGTATCTGGGCCTATGTAGTGAGTTTTGATTGGTTCCCCAATACTTAAGAAACTGAAGGAAAATGTTAATTCTCATTATTTTTTTATACTTGTTTATCCATCTTTGGCATTCAGTTGGAAGACAAAAACAGACAGCTGCAAGAGCGTCTAGAGCTGGCTGAGCAGAAGCTGCAGCAGACGATGAGGAAGGCTGAAACCTTACCCGAAGTGGAGGCTGAACTGGCTCAGAGAATTGCAGCTCTGACTAAGGTACTGTCCTGAGAAATAGGTTCACTTCAGAAGCCTCACTGTGTAACATTGACTTGCATCCATATTCCTCACCTCAAGGATGAAACAAAAGTAGTATCAAGCTGATTTGAAAGAAGAAAATGTTTCCTGATAAGTATGTGCCACAAGTTAAACCAGGAGTGGTCTCAATGCTGGGTTTGTAATTCTTAGCATTTTGATAATAGGAAAAGTAGTTATCTGTAAGTTAGCCTTGACTATATTTACAAAGCAGTCCTGTATTTCCAATACATGTGAGCATTACTTATCCTAGGAGGATTCATTTTACTGTAAGAGTTTCTAATTAAAGGGCAGAGGGTGGGAGAAGGTTCCATTCCTGCACTTAGTTCTTCTGGACGTTTTCATACACTGTGTATATGAAACAACAATTATTTTCGTTTCAATAAGTGCTGTAAAATCAAATCTTAGTGGCAGCTGGGTTCATTTGTGCAACACAAATGAAGGCAACTTGCAGTACATACTTACAAGGTTTGTTTTGAATGATTCTTTGTATCATGTATCTGCAAAGACAAATGTGAAACCCTGAGAGGACTTCAGACTGATTTTTCTGATAAATTTATTATATGGCAGCTCTCTTGTGAAAAATAAGAAGATAAAAATAAATTTTCAGTACTGTTGTTTCCATATTTGGCCTCTAATACTTTCAGATGTGCATGTGGTTAATATTATAGCTCAGGTATTACCAGCTTCATGAAGACATACAGTGATTACATGTTTATTCTTCATCTCTTTAAAACAGATATATAAAGAAAAATGCATTTAAGAGATTGTATTACATATCATTCAGACTTATCTAAGCTTTCCTTTCTCTATTGCCAAGGAATGTTTCTAGCTATTTATGTGCCTAGCTATTTTTAAATTTGATGGATATTTTTCAGTTCTCATGTTTTTCCATTTATAGTGAAGCCTTAAGTGCTGAGCAGCTCATTAATAAAGTCTGATTTTTCAGTAATTTAGTTAAGAAGTAGAAAGAAAGAAAGAGAGGCTTGGGGGGGTGGGGGTGGATTGTGGTTTTTTAATTTTATAAAGGCAAGATTGTTATTCAGTAATCAAGATTTTGTGCTGTCCACTTTAGGTTTATGTCAATGGGTGGGAATCTGAAAGAGAGACTGAAAATGGTGGGGGGGAAAAAGATTAATTGGCAAAAAGAGAGCTACATGAAATACCAAAAAAATATCATTGCATTTTAATAAAAACTCAGGTGCACATAAGAGCAATCCCTTGGCATTTTAACATTTTTTTTTCCTGTTTTTGATTCAACAAATAATCACATATTCTAATACCCTCAGTAGCTTAAAAATATTGTTTTCTATTTTAAGAGGATTTTTCCTGAATAATTTCTCCAGCAATTAGGCACCAGTAAGTATTTTGCAGTCTCAAGCATGTCTTTTTTTTGCAACTACATTTTTCCTTGAACATATATTAATGACAAATATTGCAAGAAGGAATCCCATTTCAGCCATGCAGAGCACTCAGGGACTTCCATGAGATACTTGTTATCGTGACCATAAAGCTGCAGTATACATCTCCGTTTGTCTTCTTACATTATTCCATGGGATGTGGTTAGAAAGCTGTGAACAGAGCTGACGCTCCACCCCATTTCACTTTGATGTACTTTATCAAAGTTTTCGCCCAGCAGGGAACTCTAAGTGTATTAGACTGTAATGCCAGTTCTGTTCATTTCGCTGTGAAAAACATGAGGAAACATGAAAAACTGACAAATTTATTTTATTTAAAACTCTATCTTCTTGGAATACATGACATGAAGAGGAATGTCAGAATTTGGACAATAGGCCAAATAAGCCTGTGTTTTATATATCTTGTATGCAACATCTTTGCAAACTGTAGAGCTTATTAAAGTGCTGGTTTGATAGTTCTGAAGTTTAAAGTCCAATACTTTTCATGGATCACATAAATGTAGCTCAGAACCAAGGACACACTGTAGTCACTACAGCTTACTTAAGTAGTTTTAAATTGGCTAGCTGGTATACTGTTACCACACTAGCTATTCAATGAAAGCTGTAAGACCTACCTGAGGGGCTGAAAAATGCTTAACTAATTTTGCCTTTGTTGAGCTTTATGCCAGCATACACATGGTCAGTAGGGCTCAAATTAGCTGGCTTCCAACTACCTTAAGTCTGCCTACCTGAGCTGTGGTCACTACATGTCCATGCATACTAAGTAAAGGAAGAGCTCCCTGAATCAGGTAGTCTTTCTGCACTGCCAAAAAAAAAAAAAAAAAAAAAAAAAAAAGTCAAAACTGGTTTTCCTTGCTTTTGTACTATCTCAATGAAAGTGGCTTCTCTGAGATTAATGGGGTTACAATCATATGAAAGAGGTGAGTTAAGCCTAATATGTTTTACATTGTTTTTTGAAGGAAAGTAGTATGGGATAAGTGGAAACCATGACTGCTTCACTGTGGATAAAATATAAGACCAATTATTTATGTGTGGACATAAAACAGAACAAATGTGTTCTGGATTTGAATGTGATTCCCCACCACAACTTCAAGTTTAAAATATATGTGTTGTTACAACTCTGCATTCAATTTCTTATACTCTTCCTCGTAATAAATCTGGGTTGGGATTCTGCAAAAGAAGGATGTAGGATGAGATCCTTCTATGGTGTCACTTTTTAAAATGAGTTGGTTTTCTTTTTTAATATATATGGGCTAGTGAATGTCTTTTCCTACTTTTCCATGCCCAAACTAGTTCATAAGGAGGGAACTTCCAAAAGTTTGTACTATGCAGTGAACTCAGATAAGTACCCATAAATTTACCTGAATGATTTGAAATTTTCTTTGGCTTTGTTTTCACTGTGTTCTGCCCATTGAGTGAGCAACTGGAAGGTTAGTCAGCCTGTGGCAGACTAACCTGGAACAGCATGATCCCATGTACTGTACTATCCTGCCTGGCTGTCACACTGATATCTGTCTGGTCATGACAAGTAGCACAGCTCTCAGCATGTGTCCCAAGATTTAGACTGCTGTGACTCATTGAGCCACCTTGTACTCACTCTCACAATGTTGGTCTGTCTGCCTGCCCCGGAGAAGAGGCAGTTGATAGCAGAAAGAACCTCCCCTCAATATTAACTAAATCTTTCTTTATCCTGCAAGATTTTTATTTTCGTCAGAAGGGACAGACATTGGAGTGTCCAGATCTTCAGATGGTTAGTCTGTCAGTTTCTCCTTGCCTGTATTCAAGGAGGGGTCTAGGGGAGACAACCAGCATCCACCTACCTCTATTCACTCGCACCCACTAGTAGTCACTCTCTCCCTTTGGTGCTTGTGCAGCAGAGGTACCGAGTCACTTCTCTGATCACAAGACAGCAGTCAGCATTTTACTCCACCACTCCTGTATGCAGGTCACCAGAAATAATCAACTGTGCTTTTTAGCTTCAGTGGAGAAGCACTGAGATGGAGAAGAGGAAACCATAATCATAATAAACCACATTTAGCATAGTAACACCTTCAGCTTATTTTAAAGGTGATAAAAAATGACTTGGAAGTTGGAGGCAAGTGGGACACAATGCTTGTTTTGTGACAACGTGGGAATCTGGTTTGCCTTAAGTAGGGAAGAAGTTTCAAGAAAATGAAAGGAGGTGGTCTGCAGTGTAAAGGATGCAAAGTGGTGAAAGACGTTCTCCTGCAAGAAGTGGATGTGGTTAAGACAGAAACCTCTCTGAGAAGAAGGGAGAGAGAGAATATGATGTGTTAGCTGGAGAAGGAAGTTGATAAATCTTTTTCTGGGGGAAAAAAAAAGATAAAATTTTCTATGGGGAGGGAAGCCTAAGAAAACTCCACATTTACAACACATTACTTTCTTCTCAAACCACCTCACTTCTTATCCTTCCCTTTCCGCAGAAGATTTTGTCCTGATAAGAGGAAGAAATGAAAGCAAGTTTGACAGAGCTAAATGGAAGGAGTTGCTTACCAAACCTACGAGGTGTAGAAAGTAGTGGGAAAATGAAGGAGGGGCAAGAACCTGTGGGTATCTAGTGACTGAAAGGTTAGGTTAAAGAAAAAGAGGTGACTTAAGCCAACATATTTTTTCACGTTTGTAACGTGTTAGAAGTGAGCATGTGAACAAGTAGCTGATAACTTTGTGAGCTGTTGTTCCTCGGTCACTATGTTCAACTATATTCACCTTCAATTTCACAGCTTGATGCAATAATGCATTCTTTTTTTTTGAATACCTCATTCAAAGGATGACCAAAGGAATGTGTGCCATAAGAAGCCAGTAGAAAATCTGGAGACAGCAGGTGTTCAAAAGTCAAGGTCTCAAAACTGTGGAAATTGGCTCGTACCGTTAAAAAAGTTTAGATTTGTTCCTGCAGCTCAGCATGAGGAAGAAAAATTATAGCACCTGTACTGTACAGGTGATTTCTGCATCTGAAATTGGACTTTTTTTTTTCAACCAAGATGCAAAGACCTAGAAAATATGCAATGCCAACAGTAACAGATGATGTGAAAGCAACATTTTTTTTGTGGGCGCAGAAGCAGCAGCAGAGTTTTAACAGGGTTAGAAAGCAATAATACAAGCTGCTTTGGTATTCCCTCAAAGCAAAATTTTCGTCTATTGCTAGCTTATACCGGCTATTTCTTTGCTATTTCATAGCATACAGTGTGCAAAGTGAGCATTAAGACTCATGCTGATATCTCATAGGAGTCAGACATTGTTAGTTTTTGTCCATATATTTTTAATCCAGTCTAAGATGCACAATTTCACCAGTCTATTTATACCTGAATGTTCTGGCCAAATGCTTTAAATGTTGTTGCTGAACACTGCACTATGTGTCTTACTAATCCTTCTGTACAGAGTACTAGCAAACAGGCATGCAAGTCATATACCAAAAAAGAAGAATGTAGGTTAAGGTCTGCACAGCAAGTAGTCATGCAAGTTCCACTTTAGAAAGTCTTTAACTGAACTAACTCTTGGCAAAGCAAGTCAGAATAAATCCAGCTTCTGTTTATGAACCTCAGAGTCCACAGCTGCCCCTTCTCTCTCACTTGTATCTGGAATTCTGTTACGGGAACACTGGTGTCTCACTGGTGTCTCACACTCTGCTTTGTGCCTCTAACCACCAGGCAGAGATGGAGAAATTCAATATTTTCATGGTAGGCTCCCAAGTCTTTCAAAGAGCCTATTCCAGTGGGAATGCCTGGGGCTGACTAATACACACGGACAACAAGAAAGTGTAGCCACCACAGGCATCTCAATCCTAACAGTATGGCCTAGGGAAGGCCGTGCAAATCCCCTGAGGAACACCTGAATTACTAGGTCTTTTTTTCTGGAAGTGTCTCTTTGAGACCTAGGTTGGGGCCTTCCTCAGCATAAAGAGCTGTTGAAACCCTCATTTTGGGAGTATGTTCCAGCTAGGCACACCAGGAGATGGAGGGGCTGCTCTTTCCTACTGCAGCTCTTTGTCTACAGGTGAGTGTCTGCAAGTGAGAGAAAAAGGGAATACTTAAATGGGTTTCTGTCTCCCTAGTCTTTATGGAGAACACCCTTTTGATTCATGTCCCTGCTGCAGGGGCTGCTCATGCATTCAGCACATAATAACCAGTGGATAAAATCCCTAAATAGCATTAGAGCCCAGGGTAGGTACTAAGGCTGCGCACCTGTGCTTGTTCTCTGCCAGACAAGCAGTGGAGTCTAGTTGTTTAATTTCTCAGTTATAAAATAATTTGGTACTTTTAGAGTAATACAGAATAACACTTTAGGAACAAACAGATGAAATGCACATAGATAAAGGAAACATTCAAATGTTCAAATATTCAAATACATTTTAAGTGTTTAGAATAATGACATTTATTTTTATTCTAAGTCATATTGAATTTAAATAATTTTAAAGTTTCTTTATCCTACCAAAGAGATGGAAAGGGAGATGAATTTGGAGATCATCTCTGTTCTCTTTTGTGCTGGAAAATGAAGTACAGGTACTCTGAGCCACATTCAGGAAGATTTTTTATCAAGGATGTACCTATCAACATTTAAAAATTCTTAGTGAAATAACTGAAAACTACCGTGCAAAAGATTTTCATATATATATTAAACATATGCCTTACTGAATTATTAAAGCAGTAGCAAGTTACAAAATAACAGAATTAGGTAGCTATAAGAATCTTAAGAGAACATTGTGTTCTTTCAAGAATGTTTTCTATATAAGAATTCAGATAACATACATAATTCTAAGAATAATTTTATTCCTTGTCCTCTTCCAAATAATAGTTAGGCTTAATACCACAATATATTTAGAAAAGACTGTTTCCTGCTAAGGAATAACATGTGGCATGGTTTGGACTGAAAATCTATTTTTTTTAATTTGAAAAATAAATGTAAAAGATATAGCTAGCTAGGCTGGCTTCTCAAGGCCATGTTATGACAGACAGCACCACATTTCAGAAGAATTACGTGAGATCCCCTTTGAACCCAGAAGTATTAGTTTGGTTATTTTCATATTTTGCATTAACCTGCAATTGAGTGTATAGAAGCAGGGAAGATTAAGTAACTTGCTCTTAAAGCTTGCAGTCAGCTAATGCATCTTCTAAGTAGGTTAATTTTGCAGGATGATACCCCCAATGGGTTCTATATCTCCCTCAATGAAAACAGTTTCAAAAGAGGTAGAATTACTGAAGCCTTCTCCATCATCAGCTCAGCACATTGATAATTTCAAATCTTCTTCTGACCATTGGAGACGCATTAAGGGAAGGCCTTGAACCAATAGTGCAGCCAGGACTCAAAAACGGGAAAAGTCTATCTTCTACAGAGGAGGGTAAAGCCCCTTCCACTTTGTGGAAGGGATAGTATGATCGGGTTTTCTGCAATCACAGGGACTTTTCAACCCTATCTTTCTATTTATCCAATTGGGAGAGGAAGCAGTGCTTTAGCACTTGCATTCTGAAACAAACTAATATATAAAACTAAAAGATAAGATGAAGAAAATCATAAAGGGATTGCCACTGGTCCAGGTCATGAGAGACAAAATAGTTTCAGATAATGAGTAAGTTCGAATACATTGCAATATGCCTGCTTCATGATCAGAAACAATAACTGGACTTATTAAAAGAGCTTAATTACAAAGTATAATGATTTTCCCTTAAATTTTGCAAGAATCTGAGTTTTGTGAATATAATTACTCTGAAAAGAATAGTGGTGATATTCAGAGTTAGACATTCTTGTATTTATACAAAGCAGGATTTTCTCATATGGATGGCTTCATATCAAAAGCTGCAGTTTATATTTATAAATCTCTAGATCACAGGCTTGTTTTCTGTCTGATCTTTTGGTCCTGGTAATACTACTGATTTTGAGTTATGGGTAATTTTACGTTATGATGTGCATCTGGAGTTACTTTGGTATCTATTCATGATTATTCTGATAAATCATTGGTAGGCAGCAGTATGAAAAACAGTCTCACTAAAAAAATACAGTTGTAAAATCAGTATTTCTTGTACCTATTAAAGTTTGCTCATCTAAAGATGGAGTTCAGGATCTCTTTTTGAGAGATGGTAAATCTGACAGTGAAATAGCATTTGACAAGAAAGAGCTCACAACTCAGTCATCAGTAGCTCTGTCTATACGCCTTATGCACATTCCTGTTTCCACAGCAACAAATCTAATATAACATTTCCCTTTCTTTAAGGGCTTTTATTTTTTTTTCATTTTGAATGATAACATAGACTTGTTTGATATGACAATAACATGAATATTCATGTTTTGCAACAAATGACCTAATGAAGGTCAAATTCTATCAGAAATAGTAATGAATCTTTGGATGGATTACCATTTATATACTCAGTAATGACTTTTCATTCTTATTAATGAATTTTTATTTATAGGTTCTTTTATCTGATGACCTTGATCTTCCAAAGAGGTCCACCAGGGTGGATCCTTTCAAAGGGATGAAAACTATTGCTTATTTGGATGGAAAGGCTTATGTAGTGTATTCTAAAATGGAATACTAAAGCTTGAGCCTTGTCTCTTCTGACGTTCTTTCTGTTTTCTAGAAATTAGGGAATGTACCATAACATTGCACAGTTCTGTAACTGACCGATCCATTAATTTAGTATTTATGCATTGTTTTCATTCCTAGAAAATGATAGAAGAATTATAAAGCACTTTCTGACATTGGCCTTGCAGAGTCCTGTTCTGGTGTTTAGTTTGCCATAATTCAAAAAATAACATTAGATTAGACAGTATTGCTTTGAATCCACTCTGTAGTAATATGTCATCAGCCAGCCATCACTAACCTTGAACCTCCATGTGTAGGTTGATAGCTTTTTTTAGCATTCCATTATTTTCAGTTTCTCCACATCAACTGCATCATATTCACCAAGTATCAGTGTAGTTTATTCCACATAAAAATCTGTCAGTTAAAAGTATTAAATTTTCAGTCACACTTTTCTTTTAAGCATTCTGTGCTGTGTTCTGTTCAGTGTCAGTGTCTTTAGTTCTGATTTTTCAATTTTGTCCCTCTCCTTTTCCTTGACTTGTTAGTCTGATCCAACCTCTTCTACCTCATCTGATGATTATCAATATGTTATGGAAGCTAAACTACAAGAAATGATCTCCATACGTAGGAAGGTAGTCCTACTGGACTTTACTTTCTATTGCTAAATAGAATCCATTTGATTTGTTTTCATTTTCTTTAACTTATTTTATTATTTTTTTTATTGATAATCAACCATCGTGCAGTTCAGTGCTTCAGGAGCTTACAATTTTACGATGGCAGGTTTGTGTTCAAACCATGCACAGTCTGCATGTTACATTTGGCTGATTTCATTGCTCATAAATAACTCCAATGTTTTGCTGATGCTTGGATGTAACAGGCCTTTGTAGCTGACACATTTCAAGCAATGCTGTTCAGCTGCCTGTTTAAATAAAGTTTCTTTTCGGAAAACTAAGTTTGCAGTTAGTAGTAGCTTGCTTTATGTTTTGTTTAAACTTTACTGAGATAAAACTTCACAAAGCCACTTAAATTACAGAAAGAGTCTTTCTATTTTTTTACAGGCAGAAGAAAGACATGGAAACATTGAGGAACGTATGAGACACTTAGAAGCTCAACTTGAAGAGAAGAATCAGGAACTTCAAAGAGTATGTGTATTGCAGACAACTTCTGTGCACTTTTCTTCTCTTAATTTGTCAATATAGCTCTACATTATGCACTCCAGCATAGAAATCTATCTACTGGTAAATGTTTTATTTATAACAGTGATGGCAGCATCTTCCCACTTTAGTTAACCATCTTAATATAGAATCATAGAATTGTAGAATCACAGAATGGTTTGGATTGGAAGGGACTTCAAAGACCATCTAGTTCCACCCCCCCTGCCATGGCAGGGACACCTCCCACTAGACCAGGTTGCTCAAGGCTCCATCCAGCCTCGTCTTGAACACTTCCCGGGGTGGAGCATCCACAACTTCCTTAGGCAACCTGTTCCAGTGTCTCACCACCCTCAGGGTGAAGAACTTCTTCCTTGTATCTAGTCTAAACCTGCCCTCTCCCAGCTCTCAACCCCCAACCATTACCCCTCATCCTGTCACTGCAGGCCTTTCTAAAAAGTCCCTCCCCAGCCTTCTTGGAGGCCCCCTTCAGGTACTGAAAGGCCGCTAGAAAGTCTCCCCAGAGCCTTCTCTTTTCCAAGCTGAACAAGCCCAACTCTCTCAGCCTGTCCTCTTAGGAAAGATGTTTCAACCCTCTGACCTTCTTGGTAGCCCTCCTCTGGACTTGCTCCAACAGCTCCATGTCTTTCTTGTGTTGGGGACTCCTGAGCTGGATGCAAATATACTAATTTACATCTAGTTGCAGCGTTCAAAGTACTCTGCTGATAGAAAAATGAATGTGTGTTAATCAGTAACTGTAATTACATTTCCTGTGGAATTTCTTTAAATGGCTACAGTTACCGTAATTCTTTTATTTTTCAATGCTACAAGTCTATACTGGTTAATCTTGGACCCTACTGATCTGTCTCTTCTATTCTGCATTAAAGGCAAGGCAAAGAGAAAAAATGAATGAGGAGCACAACAAACGATTATCGGATACTGTAGACAGACTTTTGACAGAATCCAATGAGCGTTTGCAGCTACACTTGAAAGAGAGAATGGCAGCACTTGAAGAAAAGGTACAGTGTTCAGCTTAATAAAGATTCTCATATGTGAAACGTTCTACTTTTATCAGGATGGAGGCATCATGCTGATTTTGTATTACCAAATATTACCACAAATATGGTCTAACTTACACATTCCACTCTTAATTTAAGAGTGTGCTCAAACATCTTTCCAGAACTGCTACAAACTGGATATGCTGAATATTATGAGCCCCAGTTTTATCAGCAGGGAGTCTGATGAAGAGCTCATAGAGGACCAGTGCACAGCATGGTATAAGGCAGTGAAAGTGGATGAGAACTGAGGAATGGCCACTTTTCAGATGTGCTGTCGTTCCTGTATTTCAACTTGCTGATTTTACATCACTTCCTCTGGGAAGAGTAAAATGCTGTCACCAAAGGAGAAGGAGCATCTACCCTTGGAGAGAGAATGTTATTTACAGATTTTCTGTGATGTGAGTCACAGTGAGCCTGCAAAATTCAAATTCCATGACCTTTATATTCATCCCCCTTAGTCCCTCTCTACTTGTTCACCTTCAGTTTGATCTGAGGGGAATCTTTCACTGTCTTTCAGAAGGATATTTCAGAACCTCTCAGAGGTTTATATCATTGGAACAAAATGTCGTACAAAGCAAGAAATAAGCCTGCCAAAAGAACCTGGGAGAAATAGTTGTGTAAGAGTGTGACAGTTGCTCAGTTCAAGGAAGATGCAAAGTTTTTACCGTTCTTGAAAAAACGTGGTCCTACATGTTTGGATTGTTTCTAGTGTTTAAAATGTAATATATACTCAAATTGAAGCGTTAAAGGATTTTAATTTTAAAGTTCAGTTAATATGAACTTTGCTAACTTGTACATGGAGGCTGATATGGTGATATCTGATATTTAACATATCTCTAATCTCTTTTTCTTTTTTTTTCTTTTTTTTTTTATTTTTTATTTGTAGAATGTTTTGATTCAAGAATCTGAAAGTTTCAGGAAAAATCTGGAAGAGTCTTTACATGACAAGGTACTATAAAATACTGGGATTTTATTAGTTTTTATAAGATTGGAGAGATATATATGGTATATTAATTATCCAGCTAGCATGTAAAATATTCCTGGCATCAATGATAAATCCTTTAATCACCCAGATCTCTTAACTAGCCTCTGAGGGTCTCTAACAATTGTTCTGAGCTAAGTTCATGGTTGAGATCCTAGCCTCAGGAAGTCAATACTAAAATTCATATTGATTTCACTGGCTCTCGAATTTTTGTTCTATCAGTTTTAATTCTGAAAAAGTCTTGTTTAGCAGAGATATATGCATAACTGGTTACACTTTCATAGTGAAGAATGTAATTGCTGGATTTGAGGCAATTCTTCTTAACAGGTGCAGTGGCATTATGCTAAATATAGCTGAAAGTGGCCTTTCTTAGTTCATTGCAAATTAACCCCTAATACTGTTTAGTGAATCAGTCAAATTAATTATAAATATTTGTTCCAATCCCAAATGTTAGGATTTTGTTTTGAGGTTATACTTGCCTTGAGCACCATAGGATACACAAATGTATCTGCATTCAGGTTCACTGAAGTGTTTTTGTAATGCATCAAATCCACTTAAAGTGATTGTGTCGAATTTAAAAAACGTAGCTCCATTCAATACTAATATAATTATATCATATGACATCCAAAACCAAGAACTTTGAGAAAAACAATAAAAGAAGTATCTATTAAAATAAATTGTTGTTTTCGTGTACATGCAGATAACCTTGTAGAAAGGCAACAAGATTGAAGTCCCAAAAAGGAGTTTGTAGTGCATTTTAAATAAATAAAATTTCTGTGCTGTGCTACCACAGTTATAAGGTGATTCAGCTGTCACAGAACCAGGATCATATTTCATCATGAAGTTAGATAACAAAAAGGACATTTCTAAAGCTATGTCAACTGAAACAAAAGTTTCTATCATTTTGCTAGTGAATCTAAACCTGAATTAGGGATACCAGTTTTGTCTATGTAAATAAGGTATTTTTCCAATGTCATCTCCAACATGACTTTATTGTTTTAATAGTGTTAGTGTGGAAGTGAATACAGTGGCTAATTCTTTTTCAGTCTGTTTTCTGGCTTGAATGTACATATCAGCTCTTGACAAAGATGAAAACTGGTACAAAAATCTACATGTGTATCGAAATTATTTTTGCAAAGATATTTTTATTTATTATATTTATTGATTCTCACTTAAGGGTGGGAAGTGAAATAAATAGAACAACTCTGCTACTGCTCTGTGCAATTGGAGATGAGTACCCTTCACACATAATCACATAGATATGACTCCAGAGTTTCTAAGTTCCCATTTTGAAGGGTTTATTTGTACCATTTTGATGAAGAAACTGATGAAGCAATTTCAGATAAGTGGACATAACAGCAGATATTAATAATCTCTAAATAACTAGCAAATAATACGGGTGACCACCAAGTCATCTCAATAAATTCTATTCAACCAAAAACAGTGTAAAAATACTGTAATAAGAATTACTGAATCTGATATTACTTAAGTGCAGATCCTTTTCCTTCCTAGTGTTTTGGAATCCTGAACATTTTAAACTCTAGGAACAGCAGTGTTGCATCTTCATCCCATGTTCTCTCTTAATTTTTTTTAAAATTCTTTGATTTCATTTTATTAGTAGACAATAATTACTTGTACAATTTGAGAACAGCACTGTTTTCCCTAGTGTAGTCTTTTTGTTAATTCGTTCCAAAAATCCAATTTTTGTGGCACACTGTCGTTTTTCCCCAGCAGCACTTCATACTGGAGTTTCATCAAGTCCCAAGAGCAAGCTGTAAAGCTGCAGTTCAACAAGTCACCTAAAATGTGGTTGTCTCTTCAGTCTGTGTCTCTATCAGTAAATAAAAAGGCCAAGATGTAATCTTGGTCTCTAAAGGGCAAATGGCATGTTGCATGCTGAACTATGCCTGACACAGAGTGCTGCTAATGCACAAATCAGTGCTGGTTCTTCTTTTCCCCAACTTAGCTGTATAAGAAGAAAAAAAAAAAGTTTCAAGGACAAACGTGTCCTGCCATAACTACCAGCTAGTGAAAAAAACTGTAGAGTGCTATACAACCTCCTCTTGATGTGTGTGTCTTATTAGCAATAATGAGACTCGAATGAGTTCACTGCCTTTTCTTATTATAGTCTGTGCTACATTCAGTGTATCTTACTTGTTTAGCTTTATGAGAGCAGTATGTCATAAAGTAAATGTGTTTTGTGTCACAAGTAAGTGTATCTTACTATTCTCATTTCCAGGAAAGACTTGCTGAAGAAATTGAGAAACTGAGATCTGAACTGGATCAAATGAAGTTGAGGGCTGGTTCTTTAATCGAACCCACCTTGTCAAGGTAATATTTAATGACAAGTCTCCTCACTTTGAGTTAAAATAGCATGTAAATATGTGTCAAGCCTTTACAACAGAGATGTGTTCAGACCATGCATAAAAATGGTCACGTATTTCTTTAAAAATGTAAAATCTATGCAATGATTATTACTGGTGCTTTTCACTTCTTTCACAGGTAAATGAGGCCTTATAGCAGTGACTATACACTGAAATATTACTGAGATTAAGGAAAGTCTCTTAAATTATGGAATGTTTTCAAAAGTATATACAAATACCTATGTTTTTCCCAGGAGACCTTAAAAATAAAGTTGAAACTATCGTCTTTAATGCTGAAACGGATCAGCATCTTTATGATCATATTTATTTATTCTATCAACTATATCTAATCATTATTTTTTTATTAGCAAGAAATAACTCCACTTTGCTTAGTGTGTAGCATAAGACCACAGATCTACACCTAAAGATGAAGACAGTATTCAGAGAGATCTGAAAATATCCTAACAGGACACTAAACATTATGCCTCTTTTGGGCAGAGAAGCAATATGGGAACAATAGTGAGACAGATACCATAAAAATAGCCACTAACAGCTGAAATGGATTTATAATTCTAGAAAGTCCTTCTTGCCTAAAAGTAACCCTCAAAATAAAATTGTTACTTTATTGACAATGGTGTGCCATGTCCTTGTTTTCGTAACAAGCAACTTCTTAACTTTGAAAACCTGCCAGCCAAAGTTCATGGACCAAGACTAAATTCAGAGCACTGTAATCCTCCAAAGTTATTCTTGTTGGATAATTTTTGGCTTGCATCAGTACCTGGACATGGTTTCTCCCTCAATCTTTTATTATCTCTTGGAATAATATTTTTCTATACATGGAGAAGTGTAAATCAATGAAATTCAGAATGTGATGCTTGTAACTTTGAGTTTTTCTTCTTTTGGGAGTGTGACTACAGGCACGCACAACACTTCTTTGTGAGTGCTTGCGAGGACACCAACTATTGAACTGCTGCAACAAACAGCAGAGGTTTTTTTGGAGCAGCCATCCTTGGTGAACAGCAGCCTTTCTTGCTGGGTAGATGAGTATCATTAGCTCATGCTTTGTAAATAGGAGGCTGTCAAAGGGCTGTTCGAACTTCATAAGCTATCTAAATGTCTTGGGAATTCGGCAGGTTCCCCTAAAATAGTATACTTCCCTCCACACCCTCACCTTGTGAAGGTACCAACCCTCTCGGGAACAGGTAGCTATCAGCATTAAATACTTTTAAAATTGTTCTCAGCTCATATTCAGTTCTGTATTTGCAGTTTGTTCTTTCAGCAGAATAATGAAGCTGGTCAGCATACAAATATCTGCTGCCAGTCTAGAACTTAGGCTGTTTTTTGTTTCCTGTTGACTGGCTTCACAAGTGCCAAGTATTATCAATTATCGGAGCAAAATTCTGTTATAGCAAATACCGTACACAGAAAATAAAAAACAGTCACTGCCCTAAAAGGTTTACTATATAACAGATGAGAGACACATAGAGAACCTAAGTAGACAAAATTCCCAAAAAATTACACTGCCCTAAAAGGTTTACTATATAACAGATTAGAGACACATAGAGAACCTAAATAGACAAAAATCCCAAAAAACTGTTGTCTAGTGCCATAGATGGATGGCTCAGGATATTTGTAGCCCAGCTGTTGTCAAGTTTTCTTACTAGTTTAATGACAAAAGTGAGTTTTATAGAAATTTTTTAAAGGTAAGATCTAAATTTTTCTATTATTATGGAAGTTCCTAACAGGCATGACAGGAAGTGTAAGAGAAAATAAACTGCTGTCCTGTTCAGAAAAGGACATTTAAGACAACAACATGAGCTCGGATGTATGCTTTACCCAGAACCTAAATTCTAAAGCATTAATCAGTATCTGTGACATTTTAATGTATCTGATTTGATTATTATGGCACATACTCATGTTTCAGGAATTCCAGTACCTCTTTTCTCAATTTGTTTTCTTATGGTGTTTACTTTTTATAAAAGAAACTATATTGACACTTGAAATCCTTCCATTATTTTTAGATTTGTCACCGTACTTATAATACCAGACAGTACTTACATTTCTTGATACCATTCTGTCAAAGTAGCTTGTAGCAGTGGCTTCCACATTTTTCCATGATGTTTTTGCATTTCTCATTTATCAATAGACAAGCACCACAGCTTTTTATCTCTCACTTTCACTTTATTAAAGTGATGTTTGAAATTTGAGACCAGTGCTTCAGTCTTCCAATTACGAGTATGTTTTAATTCAAATTAAGTTCTTAAGGAAATCAAGAAATCTCAATGTTTGGAAACAGACACAGAACTAGAACCCAGGAAAATAGTCATGCCTACAGCCTACACTTCTCAGCATATATATATGTGGTTTTCTGAATTATTTCCTTCATTTTGGGAAGCAGACATTCTCTTATTTAGCTCTTTTATGTCTAGAATTAAAGCTATTTTCTTGATCAGCATTCTTTTCAAATTGAAAGAAGCATTTAAGAACAAAACTTATTCCTATTTTGTTTCCCAAAACTGATTATTAACATTGCTGGGAACCCCTAAGTTGTCTGTAGGTGATTGTAAGCATTTTTTCCCAAGTTTAGAAAAAAAATAAAATGTAGGTACATTAAACTCTCATTTTATGCTCTTATAGATAGCGAAATATCAAGCATATTTGAGAAGTCACTATAAACACATACTTAGTTGTCTTAGTATAGTATTTATTACACTTCATTTTTCTACTGTAATCATGCTATTCATATGTTTTTATGTGGAGATTGCTTATATATTGAGAACTAGAAATTGTTCAGGTCTCCACAGCTGTGGTTGAATGCTCAAATAGTGCAAGGAGGCTTTGCTCTTCTGACTCAACTACGCAGCACGTGGGCCGGATACTTCTGTTGCACCGTGCGGGGAACCTTTATTGCTGCTATTTGACCAAGAACAGAAAGGCCAGCAAGCATCGTCTGCAGCCAAGAAAAGATATGCTGAAGTTATCATGTGTATCCCTAACCCAAATGTCCCAGGACTTACCAACACTAGAGGAAAAAGTGGGGGTTAAAACTCTCAAAAGCATCATCAAATAACAATGAATGATTCATAACCAATGTTATATATTGCAGGGCAGTTCACTAATATTTCCATAATATAAGACATAGGCTTACTGTAGGAAAGAGTTATAGATATTCTCACTCATGAACATGTAATACACTTACAGTAACTTCAGGCATACTTATTCAGGAGAATAATGGAAGGAAAATAAACAGGATAGTACATTCAGCAGCCAGTTCTTTTAATTTTCCTGAAGTCTGCTTATTTTTTTGTCTTAAAGTTTTGGACAATAAGATTTACTATGCAAGTCCTTCATTTTGAAAAATCAAATATTTTCTTCCTTATTTTTCTCCTAATATGATTTCAAGTTTTCACTTTTAAATTATGTTTGTGTTTTTGTGATTTATTAAATGATACATAATAATTTGTTTAAAAAAAGAAATCTGTGTTCCTAGACTGGAAGTCATTGGATTGTTGTTGATGTTATTGTTATTACTCTCAGTTTACATATGTAGTTCTTTTTCTAGGCCTCACCTTGACACATCAGCAGAGCTGAGGTATTCTGTGGGCTCCCTGGTTGATAGCCAGTCTGACTATCGGTCAACTAAAGTAATAAGGCGACCTAGAAGAGGCCGGATGGGAGTACGCAGAGATGAACCAAAGGTTAATCCCAATTTTTTCTCACATATTCCCTGATAAGAGAATATATTTCAGACTGTTAAGCTTACAGTTTGGGCATTTTGAGAAAACAACAACAAACCCAACAACACTGAACAAGAAAACTCAATCCAAACAGCAGGATTTTTCTGTACATGCTCAAACAAAAGTACTGTTGTACTAAAATGAAGGCATAAGAGCTTGCAGTTCAGACAACAAAGTTGAAACATACCAGACCATCTGTCTTTTCTGGATATTTGTGTATATTTTTGTGATGGTTAATTTTACACCACGTTAGAAATTATGTGAAAATACTTGACATCATCTACAGTAATATTGTGAGCATTAATAGAGAATTAATCATTGAATGGATATCCTTAAATGTTAGTTACTTTCCTTTCCCATTTTATAGAAGTTCAACTTTGCAGTTGTTTTCCATGGAATAAGCCATATACATCCTAATTCCTGCTCAGGTAAAATCGCTTGGAGATCACGAGTGGAATAGGACCCAGCAGATTGGCGTTTTGAGCAGCCATCCATTTGAAAGCGACACTGAAATGTCTGACATCGATGACGATGATAGAGAAACGCTCTTTAGCTCCATGGACCTCCTGTCACCAAGCGGCCATTCAGATGCCCAGACTCTGGCCATGATGCTTCAGGAGCAGCTAGATGCAATCAATAAAGAAATCAGGTATGTAGCCTGAAGCAGCTGTGATGCATTTATGATTGTGTGAAGGTAACAGTGGCATCTTCAATTCCTAACCACAGAGATTTCTTTCAAAAAATGTTCCAAGTGAAGAACTGCTGGCCAGTTAAAGAGAGATACATTAGAGAAGGCTAACACATGGCAGATTTGACAGATCATTATTCATAGTCCTCTTTTCAAGGTCTTTTTCACTGTTCTGCATGACTCCACTTACTAATGACCTCCTATCAGAAATATTTTATTTCAGTGCTCTTCATGCTTTCTTCTGGTAATTATTCCTATGTTACATCTCATATAAGCCACAGGTTTTAAGACATGGTTTTGTTTTTCTATGGAGGCATAGAATGTGATTTTTCATGCTCCCAGTTGGGTTATATTGCTTGGAAATAGGTGGTGAATTGAATGTATCTTAATAATTTCTGTGCAAATTTAATAGAGTGATAGAGAATCCAGTGATGTATTTTAATTAAGCAAGTTTTAGAAATGAAACCATATTTTATGCTTAAAGCATTCTTATATGTTTTTCAGGAAGGGCAACTTTTAAGAACTTGGGGTATGAAAAACATCCTCTTATTGGTAACTGTTTCTCTAGAAGGAGATGTAGGAGTATTAGTGACTTTCTGGTAATACTGTAGACAGAAAGGCTGTGGTTAGAAATATAATCAAAACCAGATTACCTTTTGCCAAATCTCAGTCCTTCTCTGAGCAAGGTAACTTTAAAGGGAGACTCTATTGTAATATACGGAATTTTAGTAACTTTTCTGTTCAAGGGGGAGACTTCTTCTTACCGATCTACAGCTTTGCATTTTCACTACTCCCAGAATATTTTCATTCAGATAGGATTACTCTGCTGTTTTCTAAACTCTCTTATTACAGCTGTCAAGATAGAGAGTTGAAGAGAAATTTTGTTGTTGGGAGAGTAAATCTGCTTAAAATAGTGAAAGTAAAAGAGAGAACCTTATCCATATTTTCTGTTATTACAAAGAAGTTATCACTGTGACCAATTCAGGAAGCTGTAGATGTAATAAATGTATCTGTTTTAAAAAATACTAGCATTTTGACAATTTAACAAGTAATTTTGTAATATAGTAAAGATTTTTACAGGAAATTGTACCTGCAGGTGACATAGTGGGATATTATTTGTACCATCCTGAATCAGATCACTGTTTTACTTAACAAGTGAACTTGACTTAGATGTTAGGTACAATTTTATCTCAAAAAGGAGGCAAGGGCGCACAATTTATATAGCCATTTTTGCTGGAGGTCCACTGAGAGTAGTTTATTTCCCCTACTGCTGAACTTATACTGAAGTATAGGCTTTCATTACCATTGTCACCATTATTAAAGAACCAGCTAACTAATTTTGAATTCTTTCTTTTATATGTTTTGGGAAAAATCGTTCTACAAGTATAGCCTTATAAACTGTGCAGCATTTCACATTTTATTGGTTTGTCGTTTTTTTTCTTGACAAACAGGATAAGGGTTTATCAAATGATTGGAGATATCAAAAGAGATTAAAAATGTATTTTGCCTGTAGATTTGTTTTATTATAGAAGACGATTCAGAATTTAGATTACTAAAATGGAAAAGGTTGTTATAATTTCCTTTCAAAATGTTATTCGCCTTTAAGTTTCTGCCACACCTCCTTTCAGAAAGGACTATAGACATTTTATAGAAATTTTGAGATGGGTGTTAGAGAAGACAATTTACCACAGCATAGGAATTTGTAGGTTTCTATTTTCAATGTATTATGGTTTCATTTATAGTACTTGCTTCATTTCACTCAGAAAAGCCTGGTTCACAGTTTCAGCCTCCCCAAACTTCATATTCTCTCACTTAACCTTGATCCCTCATACTTATTCCTCTTTGCAAAAAAAAAGACTCCTTCTAACATGGGTTTATGGGCAAAGGACTTATAAGCAAATGTTTTATTTTAAACACATTTTTTTCATTCTAGATGCAATCACAATTAAAAAACAAAAATAAAGAACCCAGTGGAAGCATCCTATTGAGGCTATATATGTTTAAGAAGCTTGTATTTATTGATAACAAGAGAGCTATTTTAATGAAATGCACTTAAAACCTCAATGTTTTAGAAACAACTGTCATTTTTTCATTAATTTGTAGGGATGAAACAGACAATTTGTTTTACGTGTTCCTTTGTTTTATTAATATGGATTATCTTAGCAATTCCCTTCTTAAAGGCCCGGTTTCATTTGGCTTTAAATTTGTGTTCATGCTTTAAGCAACAGAAAATCAGATGAAGCCAACTTAAGATTGGAATTAGTTTCCTATGATAAATCAGATTGTTAACCCCCCTCCCCTATACTGTCTCCTTTGCAAAGGAACCAGTCTTCCTGGAATGTCGTATGTCAAGTCTTGTTGTTGGGCAGATTCTTCAAACAGTTTTTGAGTATTGAGGAATTAAGAAAAAGAATTTTATACTTCTGGTGGATAAAAAATACCCTTTCCAATATTATTTTGGAGTTGATCTATGATATTTTCTTTGTTTTCTTTTACTTTCAAATCTCATTTGAAAGGAAACATTTTTTAGTTTTGCTTTTGGGCTATGCGAAGACAAATACAACCACATTCTTCTTTTATTTAATAAGGTTGATCCAGGAAGAGAAAGAGTCGACAGAACTGCGTGCCGAAGAGATAGAGAACAGAGTGGCCAGCGTGAGTCTGGAAGGCTTAAATCTAGCTAGAGTCCACCAAGGTACATCCATTACTGGCTCGGTGACTGCATCATCACTTGCAAGCTCATCTCCTCCCAGCGGACACTCAACTCCTAAACTCACCCCTCGCAGTCCAGCCAGGGAGATGGACAGAATGGGGGTTATGACGCTGGTAAGGAACTTTGTGTTTGTGTATCACATTTTAGGTGTGATATTTCTAGTATTAAATACTGTGTGAATGGTTCATCTCTCATTCTTTATTCACCTTTTCATCATACAGACAGATAGCAAATTCCCTAGAATATGGACATTTGTGTGGGTTTGGGTTTTGTTACAGTGCTTTTGAGCATTACATGATTCACCAGGGACATAATGGTCTGAGGATCAAGGGCCTTCAGCATACAGGCGATAGAATTAATAAGAAACAGAACTGATCACTGGAATTACTGTAATCAATTTATATGTAAAATATGTTTACTAATGAAAAGCTCTGAAGTGATAGTTTTTACACAGTAGTCTGTGGGACTGTTGCTGAGTTTACACCTCCAGGAAATGTCTATAAGACATTAAAATCTTATATTACTTCATATATGTGATCACTTAGATATACTTCTCTATTTGGTATACTCTTTTGTAATTGTGGATTTTGTATGTATTCTTCATGACAGTGTATCAAGCACTTGAAATAAGTGCTTTGTTTTCCAATAATTCGTTTAACTGATATATTTCAACATTACAAGCAGCACACATAAATAGATACCAAGGCATCAAATTATCATGCAAAGTGTTTCTAACATTACTGTACCTTTGAGGACATATTCTGAAATGTCTGGTTTGATCTGAAAATGGATTTGCAAAAGATTTAATTTTCATCCTAGACAAAAAATGTTACAGTCGAGTGAATGAAGGTACTATGTGTCAACATATTCAAGATGTACAACCCTGAAATTGATAAGAGTGCAGAGGCAGCATTCAGTGTGGGCTACAAACCAGTTTGGAGCCTGGGTGAATTCATCCCTTTATGCACTAGGAGAGGATCAAAGCAGCCCACTGCTGATCTCTATGTATAAGGAGGAGAATAGGATATGTGTAACCCCGTCTTTTATTGGCTATTTCTCTGATATTCATAATGTCACCAATGTCCCCTTGTGGTCCATTCCTGGGAAGCACCAGCACTAGTTCTCTGTGGAGCCTCTCAGCAGAGGAGGGGAAATGAGCCTTGATCTCAATCAAATAGGAGAAATTAACTCTCCTAGCCAAGAAAGTTGCTAAGAACAGCTGGGAGTGGAGCCTTGCTGTTCATTCTGCTCAGCTGGGACTAGGGACTTCTGTCTGCCATCATCGAGCTGGGTACTCCATTCTCCTGGGAACTGACAACTACTTGTATCCACCTCTACGTCTCCCAGTTTAGGATGGTGTTTTCTGCCTTCTTGGGAACTGAAGACAGCAGAGAGAAGGTCAGGGCTGGCGGTTGTGGCAGACTGTGGCACTGATTCTTTGCGGCCCCCAGTTCCCACTGCTGAAGAGCAGAAATGAAAATGTTGGTGGCACAGGCCATTGTGGAGGAGGTGGGTGTGCAGGCTGCTGCAGTACCACCTTCACAAAAGCAGCACCTTCCCAAATATGCAGTTTGGCTCCATTTCACCAGCTGTTTAAACTAAGCAATCTGGCTACAGAAGGTTAAACTGACCTTCCAGCAGACACCTGCACTGCCTGATTGCCTTGATTTGGACACAGTAGCTTTGGGTCAGTAGGTTCATCAGATTCAAATACAAAATGACAGCATAGCCTCAGCTCTTCAGGTTACCATAGCCTCACTGGCATCCAGCTCTAGCTGTGCTAAAGCTCAGGTGGATATGTCTGTATGGGTTGCAGTTGAACTCTTGACATATCGTAAGCTGTAGAAGTAGCAGCCCACTGCCTGCTCAACAGCACAGCCCACAGCTTTTGCTCACCCTCATCAATCATTTCAGGACACGTCTGCTCTGCACTGTTTCATCAGGAGTTCAGTGTTGAGTATCTCCTCCTTGCTGGCTGGGAACAGGCACAACAGGCTATCAGATATCCTCTAAGTAGAAACTTTGAGTCTGGAAGAGTTCTGTAGAGGTATGATCTCTAGAGTCCAAATGCCAAATGGTCCCATAGGGGTTGGCTGAAGAAGCAGTACTGCATGAATTTCTGCAGCCCAGGTCCATGTAGTAAGTAAATACTGCAAAGTGTCTTCAGCTTTCCTTGAATGAGTGAGACATCTACCAAAATTAAAAACAAAAAGGTTGTTGCACAAAACACATTCTAGAAGCCTTCTACTGCCAAATAATGCTGCAGTACAGAAGATGGGTGAATTTGTATCCATTGACCAAAAATGCCAGTCACTTTAATGTGGGATAACTAGAGAGAAAGGCCCCTTTTACAGACATGGTATTTGTTGATGATATTTTGTGTTTATACTTGGTGAAACATCTATACATTTGTAGTATTAGATAAAACAAAAAAGTTACCTCTATGTTGGGCGTAGTCAAAGGACTAATATGAAAACTCCAAAAATATAAAGTGCTAGTATCAGCTCACAATGTCCTATTTTTTGCTAAGCTTATGAAAATGAAGACGATTGTAACTTTAGCAAAAATAACTGCTTTCTCAGAATGACATATTTGTCAGGGGTTCTCTTATATTATGACACGAAGTGTATAATTAGTATATAATATGGATAGTATTAATGAAATCTCCACTTCCCACTTCTGAATGTGAGAAGAATGAATGTGTGGCATTTTGTTATGCCCAAATAAGATTTATTAATCATTCTTTTTTTGTTGTTGCTGCTTTGGTTACCAATCTAAGCCAAGTGACCTAAGGAAACATCGGAGAAAGGTATGATACTGGGGTTTTTTAAGCTTGGGACAGCACATTTATCATATTCCTCTGTTATTTACATAGCCGGGTTCCTTTTGCCAGCCACTTGTTCAATTCCTGAACATAATAATTTTAATCCTACCTGGAAAGGCTTGCAGGAGTCACAGCTAAGCCACAGAATCAAGGCCCACCTTGGAGCAGCAGCCTCTACAGCACAAACTTAAAGGAATACTGTTAAAAAAAAAAAAAAAGTGTGAACACAGAAGGATTGCCTTCAAATGTATTTTGGCCATTCTTGCTGGAGGAACCACAGACAGTTTACTTGAAATCTTCTGGAACAATATAAAGTTGTTTACAGAATTGTCCCTGAATATGGGATTTATCTTTACATGAGAGGAGATGGGATTTAAGATAAATCATTATATGCTATGATGAAATTCCTTTTTGTTCATGCTTATTTTCAGGCATTCTGACCATTCTGTTAACAAGCTATGGAGAGAGTGGTCCTGTTTGAGTCTGTATTTACCTTCTCCCTTACATCCCTGAGAAATTTTGTTTACTTGAATAATCCTGTTTAATGCAAAAGACCCGCTCATGTCTAAGTTTATTTTCATGTTTAGACCTTTACTAGATCAACCTGTTTGGCATAAAACAAATTAATTTCTTCTCCAAGTGTAATCTCTTTTCTTTCAAACACATGCTTTAAGCTGCCATATTTAGGCAATTGCTCATTCGCAATAAACTCTTTCAAAAATAAGAATCCTTGCAATTTGCTCAAAAAGTTGCACTTGAAACCATACATGCTTCAGTTCACTTGACAAATTCGTGCAGTATATGCTGAAACTTTCCTGAAAAGCTAATCTACTCTCAATGGAGTCTCTCTCTCCTCCAGATTGCAGTGGTTGAAGAAGATGGGCGTGAAGATAAAGCCACAATCAAATGTGAAACTTCTCCTCCTCCAACGCCCAGAGCTATCAGAATGACTCACACCCTGCCTTCTTCATACCACAATGATGCCAGAAGGTAAGAAGTTTGTAACATGAATTGGTACTTCACAGTTTTATCACATCTTATTCTTTTCGAATCCTGTTGTTGTTTAACCATTCAAAAATTACCTGATTTCTTCCCCTTTCTTCTTGGCAACTGTTTCCCCTTACGTCTCTTGCATGACCTTGAGAATGTTTGTCAGTGCTAAGATACATGCTGGATATTTCTGTTTTGAGGTACAGTTTTGATCACTACTAGACGTAGAGATTCTGCAAATCCTAGAAAGACAAACAGTAGGCTTATTCTTGTATTTTTCGTCAATTGTTCTTAGCAAATTAAAAATATTTATTTTCAGTCTTTTTTTTTTTTTTTTTAATAAGATCCGGTCAGCCTGATGGAGAAGATGTGATCTTGTATCTTGTATTGTTTTACATATTGCCAAATCATTTAAAGAAGATGATGTGATTGTCTCACTTGTTGACAGACCATTACTAAAGTCCAACCAATTAATTTCTTTGCAGAGCTGCTCAGAAGAAAGTAAAAAATTACCTGCAAATGTTGACACGTTATCTATTCCATTTCTTTATTATCATTTTGTAGTAGTTTGCCTGCTTCATTGGAGCCAGAAAGCATTGGTCTTGGCAGTGTCAATAGCAGCCAGGAATCCCTACACAAAGCTCCCAAGAAGAAAGGAATCAAGTCTTCAATAGGACGTTTGTTCGGTAAAAAAGAGAAGGCTCGACTTGGACAGCTCAGTAAGGAATTAGTGGTAACAAGCCAAGGTCACCATTTCACAGTCATTTTCCCATTTTTAATTTTGCTTCTTTTCATTTTCCAATTTGCTTATTTTTCTCTTTTGTCTGGCAGAACTTTCCCATTAAACTTCATTGCCATCAGCAATTATATTTGTCAGGAGTTTGCTGTGACATTAACGCAAATGAAAGGAGACTTCTGGCACAAATTACTAGAGTCATCCTCTTCACTGATCCTACTGCTTCAATAGTCTCTTGAATTAGGGTAAAAGTGCTAACTGTATTCTCAAATAACCAAAATAAAGTGGAGTTGAAAAACTAGTAAGTAACAAACCACTATAAGGGCTGTACCTATGTAATATGGAAGGTCCTTGCAAGTAAGTGTAGTTGCTTTTCAGATTTCAGTGTGTCAATAGATGTCTGCTAGTGCCTGTCACTGAATGTCCTCACCGTATTCTTTTGATTAGTTATGCTGCTCACAGCAATGCTTTGTTTTCTGCCTACTTCTGCTCTTTTCCCTTGCCAAGTTATAGCATAACTTTATTTAACCGCCTTACGTAGCACAAGCGATGGAAGGTGAGGTGAACAGTCTTCAGCAAAGGTTCATAGTCTGTGTGCCCATAGGGGCAAATACATCCTTAGCTGCAGTCTATATTTCTAGGCTATCTGATTTAGCTAGATTAAGATTAGCATATATATACATGCCAACACAAGCATCAAATTTGAATAGATGTGTCAGTAAAATAGAAATGCTAGCTCTTTCCTAGTCACGAAGATGGCATGTAGTACGAATTTGTGAGGCACTAAATTTTTACTGCCATGGTGACCACATAACACCTGTTAAAGAATTTTAAGGGTTTGCAGTAAGTGCAAACACTTAAGAAATATATAATCCTGAAGTTAAAAAACTAAATTCGTGTTAAAACACATCCTTATCACAACTAATAAACCCATCACTAAAATCATACAGAACAAAATAAGGTAATATTAAGGTCAAAGTATCAGAGTAAAATCAAATAACTGAGCATTCTCCATTTACACTCCAAACTTTCTCCTCTCTGCCTGTGAGAACCTTGTGTTCTTGAAAAAAAAAATAACTAATTTCTAATTACAATTTAAATTCCCTTTTTTCTCACTACGGGAAGAATAAAACTGATTCATTCGATCTTTTTCATAGTTTAATGTATTTCAGAATCTATTAAATGAATCTCTCAAATACACCTGCATGACACCATCTGCACTGATGGAGAATTTTATAACTTTAGACTCTGTTATTAATTCACAATTACATTCCATAAAACTAGTTTTATTGATACTGATGGATTATACATAATAACCTATGATTTCACAGTAACTCAGGAATGTAGAGGACAAAGATGTAATAAACGTGTTGATCTTCCCTGCAGTTTCTTGCAATGTTGAACAAAAATAAAATAACAACTTTAAAGATTATCTCAGGAGCAATGTAATCTGGCATTAGATTAATTTCTTAATAATACCCACCATGATTAATAAGACATATGTATAATTAGATAGAGCCTACTTGTAATTCCCAACACTAGCTCCTGAAATTGCAAAAAGATATTATTGAAGATTTGCAATTAAAGGAAATTTTTGTGGTTTCCATCCTTCAGCTCAACAGCAAAAATTTCAGTATAATGCACATTTTAATTAAGCAAACTAGGTTTACAAGGATGTATAAAATTAACAGTAGGATGTTCACTGACAAAAAGTTTTTCTCATTTTAATTTTTAAAATACCAAAAAAAAAAGAAATATTGAGTGGGAGTTTCCAATCAATGGCAGTACTTTAGGGACAAAACAAAATTTAAAAAAACAGCAATCATGGTAATACTTGAATCAGTTCCAGGACAGGTGCACTGTCGGTGCATTTATATAATTAATAGTTCTATTTATAGTGAGATACTGTATCACAGAAATCTAGGTAGTAAGTCCTGTCATTACTGCACTGCAGTATATTTGTGTGGTTTTCATAACCTAAATTTATAATGCAAAATCAATTAAAAAATCTCATTTAATTCCTTGCTTAAACTAAACATTCTGATTTGATATAGATACGTACTGCTTATATTTTTGAATAAGGAAAATACCTTTTCTTCAATAAGACATCAAATACTAAGGAGGTAATAAACATAATTTCGAGCCTCAGAAATATTAATTTGTTTTCTTTTATGCATATTTGCATATGCACACAATTGGGCTTAAAGGAGCACTTTAAAAGTTCATATTAATGCAGAGGATATTAGGGATTGCAGTGATATTATACACTGTAGGTACACATAATACTTCTGTAACTAATTCTATAATAGCTCTAAAATCTCATGTAATATATACTTGTATTTAGGAAGCAATATTGGAACCTCTGAAATTTTATCACTAACTTCAACAGAACGAGGCTATCACCCAAAAGATTTCATTGCTCTGCATTCCCTGCAAAACTCTAAAATTATTAGTTTTCAGAGTTTTGGGGGTTTTTATAGTTTGCTACTTTCACCATCTCTACTCAACCATTTGCATTATTGTTCAAAGGGAAGTTTATGCCTTAGGAGGTCTTTCTTAGCACCAGGATTCAAGATTTCTAGATTCCTCAAGATTTTAGATTCCTCAAGATTTTTTTTTTAATTATTGGAGAAGGGAAGAGGAATATTACAGGGAACACAAGTTTATTTATTTATTTATTCTATTTTAAACTTATCCAGTCTTCTTTCGCTTGGGGAATACCACACTAAACACTTGCATATTCTTCCCGTGTTACATTTCAAATATTCTAGTCTCTAAAACAAACAATACGTTGCAGAGATTTTTAGCCCTGCCCAGGCAAGCTGATCTGTATGGTGTATGCAAAGGTCAGCTTGTTAGGAAACATTTATCATAGCAATCTGCGTGCCCAAGGTACTGACAAGCACAATCACCACATCCAATACAATGTACCCTGGGTTATTCAAAGGGGCAGATCTGTTTGTCTTATGGTGAAGTCCATTATGCCATGAATAGTTTCCAATCTGTGATAAATCCTCATTGCACTGCACTCATACCTTCTCCATCTAACATAATGCAAGCTGCTTTCTCAGAAAGGTGTGATATATTGATACAGCAGTTGGCTAAATTAAAAACTTGCTCCAGGGTCAGAAAGAAACATTCCGGATAGTTTGGAAAACTCTGAAAGGCAGATGAAGTAAAGCAGAGTATACATTTGTGTTTTCTGCATTTGTGATTGGAGGCATCATTCTCATCATGAGACTTGCAGAAGCAGTGTCCTCTTTAATAAAGAAAAATTCTGTCTCGACAAGCAGGAGTATTGAAACTATACCTGCTTTAAAAGGACAGCTTAAAACTAAGCTTTTCTAAGTTAACATCATAAACATGATACAGCAATAGGTTTTGTTTTCACTCGGTTGAGGTCCATGTAAATGTGACTTGTAAGAGGCTGTGATGCTGTTTCCCTATATAATATTTATGCATTATTTTAAGGTTAAAATCAATGAATCAGAATAGAAATCTTTTAATTTATACTGTGCTTTCTTTCTGTGCCAGTGTTCACTGTATAATTGTTAACTATTCATTAGTTGAGAAATAAGAAGTCACCATTGTTGGGTGGAGTCAAGCACCAGTATTTACCATACTGCTGTCTTCCTACTTGTGCCAGTTACACACCTTCTGGAGAGCAGCACAAGAAGCAAGCAGCCTTCAAAGAAGTGCTGCAGCCCCTCTGTCTGCACACACATGTGTGAATGAGCAGGTCCTTCTTCCTTGAATTCAGGTAGCAATAAAAAAGCCAGAGTATCTTTCCAATTCTGTACTAGCAAGGTCATGTTAGTGGACATATTGTATGATCAGCATGGGTCATACAAGTCGTGTCCTTAGCTTATAATACAATTTTATTTTGGTCCAGGTGTCCTTGCTTACTGCAAGATTTTCTTGTCACTCCATGCAAGTTATTCAAGTCCCCATGACTCTTGACAGGAATTAGGTGCCTATAAGACACCTCCAGGCAGACCTAGGAGGCTTTTTACTTCTCTGACAGATTCTTTGTGTCATCTATGGCTTGGGAGTTTACAGGGATAACGACATCAAAGACTCTCCAGACTCTATGAGAGCAAAACGAAGACTTTAGTATTACAACATTGAGTGATGTTGTATTATGACAATGAGACAGTTCTTGAGAAGGCACTTTCATTTGTACGTTTCACAACTAAGGTTAAAAAATGGTGAGGGCACTGCTTGCTTAGGACGATGAGACTGAGCCTTAGGAGTCAAAGAAAAACAGGCAAAGATCAGGGTGCTATTCTTATACATTTCTGCTAAACACAAGGAGGAGGAAACAATTTTCCCCTCTACTTCTCTTCTTTTCTGTGTAGTAAATGCTTGCTAGAATTTACTTCTGTAGGTGACAGATGCTCTTCACAAAGGCCAGATGTCATAGTTTGAGGAGACAAACGTAGATGATGGTGGCACCTGGGAGGGGGATTGGGGGTTGAAGAGGGGAACAACTGGAAGAGAGACATGGGAAAATATGGTGGTGTTTGGTTTGGTTTGGTTTGTTTTCCAGGAGGTTACATGGAAACAGAGGCAGCAGCTCAGGAATCTCTGGGATTAGGCAAACTTGGAACCCAAGCAGAAAAGGACCGAAGACTAAAGAAAAAGTGAGTGTAACTTTCATTGGATTAAACGTGATTCAAACGTCAGTTTTTGTGTTGATTTCTTGCAGACATGTAATGAGAAGCAAGATCATCTACTATGGCAGTTTACCACTTCATATGTTTTTTTCCAGTGTAAAACTTTTTAAAGCTGCATATAAAATATAGGAAAAATATTTAGAGTTTGTCAGTTGAACAATAGTGCTTCATTTGTGAAAGAACACAAGTTTATGAGAAAGAGACATTTTCTATTTCACATTGTCATTAATTCCGTGCCATTTCCCTTCTGTGCAATTCTGAAAAAAATAGGCAGGCATTTAATGATGCGCTATATAGATTTTTCAGAAAGGAAAAAAAAGTTTTTTGCGTTATCTATTGAACACATGATTATTTCTGTCTATAGATCTCAAAGGCTCCCCATAAACCCTAGCATCTTCATTTTCTTTTTGCCTGACTGCAAATGGCAACCTAGCTTTTTGTTCTCATAAATTATATAATAATTTAATGCTGTCTTTGGTGCATCTCCTTCTAAAACTGGTACACTGACTTATAGCAGCTGCCAGGAGCTAAGGAGAACTATTAAAATAAAGCTACAAAAACAAAAGAAACCTCTTGGCAGCATCACAGTTCCAGTGTAATTAGAGGGTGTCAGAGAAAAAAGATGATTTGATTTTGCAAATTCATTCTGTACACAAACAGGTTTATTTTTCATCCATAATCATTAATTATAGTGCTATTATTTGGATTCTGAAAGCCTAATGTTTAAAATTTGTAGGGTTTTCAGGCGTCTTTCAGTCTTTTAATGTTCCTTTCAAAGTTCCAGGAGAATTTGCAATTCTAATCTAAAGAATCTAGGGATAATGTTACAGCTTCTCTTTAAATTTATATGTAGAATATTTTTAATCGCTACTTTCATATCAAGCTCCTGATGTAATATAACTTTAAATGTAGGCATCCATGTAATGTACAAAAGTAAATGTTCCATTTAAATCAGCCTCAATTTAGCAATGAAAGATAGAGAAGCAGTCATTGTGCTAGCTGAGAGAAAAGAAACATTTTCGATTCAATTAAGAAACTCACAATAACATTTACAGGGATATAGCAGTTGAAAAGTCTCATCCCTGTATTTCTTACCTATTTTTTTTATCTCTCATTGGTCATTTAGAAATATTTGGGTGTAAAGAGTATATTGCTATGCTTTTTTACTAAACCTAGAAAGCATCTATGAGACCGTCTTTACCATTCGTATAGAATATAATTGAATTTTCAGCAGCCTATTTTTTGCATCCCCTATTTATCTTCCAACTCTGAGGACTGAAGGTACCACAGTATTGAAGTCACTTTGAGGGAACAAATGGGTTCACTTTGTTCACTTTCTCATATGTTAGTTCTTTAAAATGGATAAAATAATGTAAGACTTGACATATACTACTGCATACATGACATGACTACTTCATATATGACAGTGGCTACCAAGTTTTGCATCTGGAAATAGTAGGTGTACAGGTAATCTGTTATTATACTTCTGTCTAATCACACAGTTAGACTTTTCCATGCTTTCTGCTTTTTAAGTCTTTCCTTTTTTTCTCCTGTGTCTGTCTGTCTTTGGTTCTTTATGGATTAGATATAGTCAAAATTTTCTCTGATGGAAGGAAAGGAATCTTTCCTTTGTGGCTATGACCATTCATGGAGTCTGAACTGTATAGTATTTATCCTAAGAGTATGTTATACACCCATGTCATGACGGTTTTTAATTTTTTCCCCGTTCCATTAGATTTGTCTGTCTTCGTAGCTTCTCACTTTGGAATCCTTACAACTGCTTTTAAGATTCTCCTTAAGTTACTATCACAGAAAGCTTAACATATATTGCTAGTTTATATATATATA